TTTTAGACTGAACAAATTCTAAATTTTAATTTTCTGTATTCTATCCCGAGAATGACGTTTCTGACAGTGTCAACTCCCGAGCTCATATTGTATCCATCTACTATAGGTATTTATCTTGTGACTTTAACCTAACTGTCTAGCAATTAAGGATTTTTTTCTTCTTTTAAAATGCCAGTGCGTTTTTTTTTATACGCCGCTAACATCGTGCTGTGCTTAGAGATTCTTGAAATTAAGATTCTCAAACTATACTTGTACTGAAAATTATTCCGCCTTAAAATACGGCGAGAATTTATAGATCGAATTTACTTGATCGAAACATGAACTTAACATGAAATTTGCTATAGAATTTAGGAATACATATATTAATTCCATAAATCCTCCATTCACAATATAACATAATATTTTCTAAGAAAATCCTTGGCTTAAAAATACATGAATTGTATTATTTAAGGTCTGGAATTTTCTCAGTCATTACACCGCCGCACCGGAACTCGCACCAAAACTCCCAGATTTATCTTACTGGATCTTGCAATATCAGCGCCAATCGCGTCGGTGTTCTCAGATTTCGTTGTAAATTCGCCTCAAATTTGGCCGATCTGGCACCAGATTGCGAAGAACCACTCAAGTCTTCGTCGGCCTCGCACAATCCTAGATCTCATCGCACTCTCTCCAGCGTTGGTCGATGTCTTGGAATTTCTAGATCTGGTCGCCACTCAACCCAACTAGATCCCAATGCATCCGTCGTTCGTTTGCCCTCCACAAGCTCTTCCTGGCGGCGCATCAACTGATCCAAACGATCCAACTTGCCATGGATTGCCTCGACAGTCTTCGCAAGTACGGAGATCTTCTATACGGGATGGAATCATTGCAGCAAGTGAGTCTTGAACTCCGACCAACTCCGAAACGGCCATCGCCGATCTTCCGATTGAAACCAGGTCAGAGCTTCAGCCTCTAAGTGGACAACCACAGCCTCTAATTTCTTTCGATTTGGCATACGAAACTCTGAAAAGCTTCGTTCCACACAAATAATCCAACCGGCGTCATCACCGTAGAAAACCGGCAAGTCAATCCGCCGATTTAGGTCCTCTCCACCATCCGGAATGAGATCTGGTCTCCACCAGCCTTGTCGATGTAGCATGTCGGCCAAGAATCGATGCTCTTATACCATTGTTAGGAACCCGATAATCTGAGTTTCATTAACAACTCTAAAAATAGAAAGGTATGTGAAAGGTATTCTAGGACGTTTGTAAACAGTTTTCAGCACACAAAAAAAGAAAAAAAAATTAAAACTTTAAAGAACATATTTATTTTGAAACAGATAGATCTGTAAAGAGTAATTGTTGACCTAATTTGTGTAACTGTGAGTAGTATTTTTAGCTACAGCAAGATAAATGTACGCATATATAGAGTCTTGTGCAAACAGTAAGAGCATCAACTATATATACACCTCATGCAACGCTTTCATATCTCATAATTTTCACTAGATGCAATTTGTCGTAAGGACATGAAGAGAGATGAGATGAATTAGCAGTCAATATTAAAAGTTTCTCAAGAGAAAAAGGATAAAAGAAAACAAACAAATCCTCCGTAAACAAACACATGACAAATTATCCGAGCAAAAACATATAACAAATTAGTTGATTAAAAAAAATCCTCCATTTTGGTTCAATCTCGTTAAAAATTGAGAAGCTAAGTTTTAATATAACAAAGTAACAACACATATACTACGGGTCATGGATAAAACCCGGACCCAACAACAAACTATAAATACCCCATAGTCATCTATTGAGATAAGGATATTTTTTCCGCCCAACTCTTACCACTCCATTTATTACTACCTATTAGCCCGCCTGATTTGAGCGTCGGAGTGCCTTTCGCAGCACCACATCAGTGTCTCCCCTCACTCCGGAGCATTCTCTTGTTCCCGTGTAAGACATAATTTCTGGACCCGAGTAGTGATCGAAGCACCGACCAGTGAGCGGCGGAGGCAAAGTCCGAATACCGTGCTCCCCAGCACGTGGGTTTTGATTCAGCTCAGACATCAACACCCATTTATATTAAGGTAATTTTTATTTTTGAGTAAAAGGAAAGAAATGGTGATTCAATTATAGAATCAATGCTTTGCATTTCCAAAAAAGAAGAAAATATAGCCAAGGGTTTCATTACACTTGACAACAAAAGTCAAAAATATTAGCATGTATTTCCAAGGAAGAAAAAGAATAAAAAAATATAAAAAATAAAAAAAAAAAAGCCCTTAGCTTACGCCTTACACCTTACGTGGATCTTACGTAAATCTTGTGACTATATATATAACAAGTCCGTTGGTCTCTCATTGCGTGCTGTCGTTTGAGTGTAACTATTAACCAAAACCCTTGAGAAGAAGATCATATAGCCATGGATTTCTGCACGAGTGTGGCAGCGCAGTTGATGTTGGACGAGATGAAAAAGGAAAGCTCTTCAAATAACTTCTTGTTGTCTCCATTATTAATAAGCATGGTTCTCAACTAATTTGCTCGCTTCAGCAGCTGGGCTCGTGATCAGGGAAAACCTTGGATCAGTTATTGAAGATTACTGGCTCCAAAAAAGACGAAGATCTCAACTCCGAGTCTTCAACCATTACGACTCTCCTCTCTCCTATGATGAATCTGAATCATCTTATCATAATACTAATCATAGGTTCGACAACTCCCAAGAAGCCGCTCTTTAATTTCGTAACGCTATTTGGGTTGATCATCGTTTCCCTCTAATTCCTTCTTTCCAAGAGATCACCAAGACCATCTACGTCGATGCGCCGAGTGTAATATGGCTATTAATTGCTTCTTGAGGTAGACTTTTTTTTATATAAAAAAAAAATCTTTATTATTTTGTTTAAGCCGATAATGTTTTTCATCTTTGATGTCTTTCATGTACTCATTGCATCTTTAATACTCAACAGGGCTTTAGTCAAATTGTCAAATATATATATCTAAAGAATTTTACGTGCATGGTAGAGTTTTCCCTTGTTTTTAGTTTTAAGATTTTTAATGTCTTCAAGCTTCTTTTTTTTTTTTTTTCATAAACAAATAAGATTTGCGTTTTGGACTCGGAGATACACATCATTTATTATTTTTACAATTAGAGTCAACATATTACCGAGTGTTTAGATTAATCTTATCATGCAATAACGCTTTTACAGGATTTTTGAGATTGTTCTGTACTATCAATACGGGGAATAGAGGAAGAAAGATGATGGGTCGGTGCTGGAAGAATGCCCTCCTTTCCTCTAGAATGTATCAGCCCATCAAGCTTCTATTCAGAGAAATAGAGAATTTATCTTTAAATATATATAAATCTAAATTTTTATCATTTATTCTTAGATCTCTTTCATTTCACGAATTTAAGTTTTCAATTCGAATTAATATATGATATTTTTTTAAAATTTTTTACTGTAATAAAAAAAATTAAATATGACATTTTTAAAAATTTTTTACTGTAAAAATTTAAAATTAAAAATGATGAAATTAACAAAATCTTAATAAAAAATAAAAAGTAAAAATCTGACCGATGCACTCTCAGCTATTTGTCAATATTATCCTTTCTAGCGCCACTACTTGAGGCCCATCTTGTGGTCGGCCCAAACATCCAGACCCTGCCATTTGTACAGTCGTGATTGGCGTCCAAGCTCTGCACTAGTATCAGAACGAAGCTGGTAGCAAAAGAAATCTATTTGCCCATTAAAAAAAAAAAAAAAAAAAAAAATCTATCTGCCACAAAATCCAATCCTTGGCAAAGCTCCTTACTTTAGCCTTTAGGGAAGTGTGGTTGTCGTTGTTACACACCATGATGTTCCAAAACCACAACAACTCTCCGTTATAACTCTCTCCATTTTATCTCTCTCCTGTTCTCTCCCAGCAATGGCAACTTTACAATCTCTTGCATTCTCTTCTCCACTCTCTCACCATCTTCACCAACCACGCTCTTTTTCGGGTAATCTCTCTCTCTCTCTCTCTCTCCCCTGCTTTCTCATTAAATTTGACTTCATTATCATTTTATGCATTGCCTTTTTTATGATCCTTTTTGCCCGAATCATATTTTCAAGGTTCTGGGAAAATAATGGGTAAAAGAGCAATCTGGGTGTAATGGGTACGTGGGTTTTGATTGCGAAACCTTTAGAATTCTCTTCGTGAGAATGGGATTGTGGGGGAAAAATTGGGGCTTGGTTTTTGTGCTTCACTATCTTAATGCTTTCCCTTGTCTTTCTATACCTTTTTTTTCTTTCTTTGATATTTTGGGATAATTAAAATTCCAGGCCTGAAGTCTCACCAGAGTCTACTAGCAATTGATGAATTCACTGCAACTTTTTTCCATTTCTGAAGGGCTTGTCTAATTGTGAAGTTTGTGTTCGTATGAAAATAGGCACAAAAAAAACAAAAACAAACCTTTCGTTTTGCTGCTGCACTAGCCACCAAAACAAGTTTTTAAGCATCATGATGAGTGTTACAATCGCATTATTATTGGCTCTCCTTTAAACGGTTTAAACTTTTAGGATAATTGATAAACTTTTAGTATCACTTTAGGAAGATTAGGAGGTCCTGAATTTAAACTCTGATAATTGGGCGTTCTTTAAAATTGGCAATCACATGCCGAATTGGTAACTAACAATTAGAAATGAATCTTTGGAACACAACTAGAAAAGTAGCTAGTGAATTCAATACTAATAGGCTTCTCTTGTTGTGTAGGTAAGGTGTCTTTGACCATCCGAGGAAGTTCACACTCCACATTCAATGGGCAGTGTTTGCAACTGCCTCGCCGTCGATGGTCGCAGCCTAGACCGAACGCCCAAGTGCCTGGTTTTGTCATAAAGATGGTGAAGCCAACAATTCAGTTCATCCAAGGAACTGATGAGCAGACAATACCGGACGTGAGGCTGACCCAATCAAGAGACGGCACAAATGGCATGGCCATATTCAAGTTTGATCAGCCTTCTGTCTTTGACTCATCAGGTGAAGTTGGTGACATTACTGGCTTTTACATGATTGATGATGAAGGTGTTCTTCAGTCTGTTGATGTCAATGCCAAATTCGTCAACGGGAAGCCCGCAGGGATCGAAGCTAAGTACATTATGCGATCTCCGCGAGAGTGGGACAGATTCATGAGATTCATGGAGCGATACTCTAATGAGAATGGCTTGCAATTTATTAAGAAATAAGATGTTGTATATCCTTTTTTTTTTTATGTATTAGCACCACCCCACTTTTTCCACTTTCATTTTCACCATTGTTCACTTTCTTTTTCTCCTCTTCTTTTTGTAATTTATTTGAGTGAAATTACAGGAATCAATCTTACTTGATTCCTCTGTAAGTGCTTCACTTTCTTTCAATTTAATCCAGCCAATTTTGCTCAGCCAAGTGATCAGTGTTGACATTCCTTCATATTTATTATGCGACCAGTTTTTTAAATTTATATGTTATTTTAAATTAATAGTGTAAGGACAGGAACAAGAAAAGAATCAGAAGATAGCTTCTTGAAAAACAATATGTAAAGCAAACTATGCCAAGTCATCATTCACTGATACCTAAATGTTCTTGACAATAAATTTAACCCTCAAATTTTTCAATAACATGAATCCTCCGAGTCAACAAATCAGAAAAGTCAACGCTACATGACAACACTCGTCAAAATCATTTATTCGTCCAGGCTATTGAGATAGGGCTTCTGACTCTGTACAAGCTATTTTTGGCATTGACCCATGTCAAATGTCCTTGTGCATAGCTATGACTCTGTACCACTGATCTCTTCCTTGATATAAACCAAACTCTGTAGCTCAAAACTTGGTTAATTCTTGTGAACACTAACCTCCTAGGCTTAACTCTCACTTTCACATCCTGTGGAGCTTCTATTTCCAGCGAGTAAATGGAATTAGGACTGCCCACATTCGTTAATCGCCTCTTGATCATCTTACTCCCTGTTCCGCGCTTGAAAATCACCGAAATCGAAGGGTAATTAAGGCTAAATCCCTTGTTGATCGTCAAAATTTCGCGGCAGCTTACGTTCTTATGAGTGACAGAGAACACTTCCAAATCAGTGTATCCAAGAGTGCAAAGATGAGTGACATACTCACCGGGCCTAATGTCATAAACCAGCCCGGGATCAAGCGCTCTTTGAGGGTTGACATGTCCCGCCCCGAGGGCGAACACTCCAGCAGGCTTGTCCCCGTCCATTATCGGTCTCCCCGAATGGTCGGTCACGTGGGCAGTGGTCATAATGGCGGATTTCACCGCGCCAGGGCTCCATTTCGGGTGCGCCGAGCGGATTAGAGCGGCAATGCCGCTCACATGAGGGCATGCCATGGAAGTCCCTGACATGACAGTGAAGTTCACTCTTCTAGAATCTTCTGGAAGGCCACTGGGGCCCAGGTTTTGAGGCCAAGCGGCAATGATATTAACTCCCGGAGCAACCACATCTGGTTTTAGTATTGAAGGATTTGAGAAACTTGGTCCTCTGGCGGAGAATTGAGCCACTTTTGGTGCCTCTGATCTTCCGATCACAGTTCCTCCAAACTCGATTCTTCCCATAGGCTTCTTTGTGGAGTTTATGTAAGTTTTTAACCGAATCGATTCGTCGAAACCGACCAATGTCGCCGGCAAAACGTGGACATCGACGGAATCTTCCTCTAAGTTCAGCTCTGTATTTGTCAAGATCATTGCTAAACCACCAGCCTCCTTCACAACTTGACCTTTCTCTGATCTTCCATTGATACCTCTGTCACAAACCACCATTTTTCCCGCCACTTCCTCTTTTGTAAGAGACCCACTGAGGCAGAACTGACTTCCTATGTCTTCGCTCATCAAGTAGACTATTTCGAGCTCTTTCGCCGAGCCCGAAATTTGGTTCCCGGGATACAAGGACTCTCCGTAAAGAGATTCTCCGTTGCCCATTCGGACGATGGCCGGAAATTTCCTGTCCATTGTGCTTGCGCCAATGGTGGCAATCCAAGGAGCTTCGTTCGCCACCGAGCTTTCGATCGGCCCGTTGTTTCCCGCCGCGCAAATAACCGAAACTCCGCGCTCCATCGCTCGGAAACTCCCGATGGCAATGCTGTCCGCAAAAAGCGGCATCGGAAAGCCACCTAACGAGAGGGAAAGGACATCGACTCCATCTTTAATTGCGGCGTCCATTGCAGCCAGAATGTCGGAGCTATAGCAGCCGGTGTACCAGCAAACCTTGTAGGCAGCAATGCGGGCGAACGGAGCCATCCCCCGCGCCACGCCGGCTGCATTGCCGAGCACGCTCGCCGTCGGGACTGAAGCACCGCCCGCGGTCGACGACGTGTGACTGCCGTGCCCGTGCGAGTCTCGCGGTGACACGTATTCCTGGACACTCTCTGGTGAGGCCGATGCTGACCCCGAGGCCACCCGGTGGCCTTTGATGAAGAATCTAGCGCCAATGAGCTTCCTGTTACAGCTTGAAGAGTTGAAGTCTTGGCCTTGTTGGCAAATTCCTCTCCATCTCTTCGGAACCGCCGGCATTCCCCGGTCGCTGAAGCTCGAACTCTCCGGCCAAACTCCGGTGTCAAGGACCCCAATTATTGCTCCTCCACCGAATTTAGCCTTGTACCATGAGTTTTCCCTTGTGGGGTTTAGTCCCAAGAACTTGTAAGAGTAAGTGGTGTGAAGCTGAAGCCTTTGGTCTGGCCTAATTGCCATGACACCGGGCAGTTTTTGCAGGGACTCGAGCTCGGGTTCCGATAACTGCGCGGCGAAGCCTTCCACGGCAGAGTGGTAAGAGTAGAGCAGGCGAGAAGAAGGGTCTTCATCTTCTGAGGAAACGATTTGTTGAAGAAATGACATGTGCCAGTCAAGCTTAGACGTGAAGAAAGAGTTTGTGATGCCATTTGGGTGGAGCTGAACTACGTAAGTTTGGAGGGTGTTTGCTTGGAGAGAATACAAGGAAAGGAAAATGGCGGAAAGGTAAAAATGGGGTTTGGAATATTCCATTGTTTGGGGTTAAGAGAATGGTGATGGGCATGATTTGGTGGGAGAATTGTGGGGGTATTTGAAGAAGAAGAAGAAGATGATGAAGAGATGAGAATTCAAAACTCGGTTTGGGATGCATGTCTGAGCTCTGAATATGAAACTCGTGAAATTTAAGAGCTCTCAATCACGAGGATCTTTTGTTATGAGAGAGAGAGAGAGATTTTAAGGTCTCTTGGAGGAGCTGAAGAGAGTTTTGCTCTAAGCTGCTCTTTCACGAGAAGTCTAGGCTAGGCTTTATTAACGCATTTTCACTGTAAGATCGTTATATTCAAACTCTGTAAATCTTTGTTTGTGGACTGGCTGGGGAAACCAAATCGATGTTTTGGTCAATTGGTCTTTTATTTTATTTTATTTTTTGTATTTTTTTGGATACAGAAACGAGAAGGAATTGACATTAATTTCGTTGTTTCTAAGTGCATTTATGTTCACGCTGCAGCATTTGTGGCTTGCATGGCTCCACTGGCTCGTGTGGCTTGTGCTTTTACTCTCACTGCATGTTCTGATTTCTCACACTTTCTTGTTAATCTTTTGTCATGTCGTAGGTAAGGAAGGAGTGATTAGAAAAATGTGGTAGGAACTCTGATAAAAGAAATTTATTTGATCAGCCATATGCCTAAGTAATAAGCTGTTTGTTTTTCCAAATATTAATTCTCACACTTCGCTTTGCTTAAATTTTGTCGTTTATATATTTATCGTCTAAATGTTGTCGTTTTAATGAGCTTGTTGTTTTATAAATTATTGTCGTTTATGAAAGTTATGTTGTTTATTTATTATTATTATTTTCTATGTGACATTGTGTGACTGTCGTTACAATATGTCGTCGTTCGCAATTAATGTCGTTGCCATATTGTCGGTTTCAAACATTGTCGTCTATGCGTGTCTAATAATAACTTCGTGTCGTTAATGTGCTAATGACACGCCAGTTTAAGTTTGAGTGTTACCATCGTTCAAGTTAAAATATGATGACATTCATCGATCAAAATTTTTGTCCCGCTATTCTCGTTTATATTTTATTGCCATTGTCATGGCACATTGTCGTTGGGAAACGATTTCATTTGTACAGAAAATGCTGTTCTGTTAGAATATTGGCGTCTCTGAGTTGTTGTCGTTTCACGTGACTGTCGTTTATGCGTTATTGTCCTTCAAGATTATCATTCAAAAGTTCTGTCGTGTTGTCGTTTATATTCTATTGCCACTCCAAATCTGTTGCGTAGTCATTTGGAACAGTAACATCGCTTTGTTGTCGTTTTTAAATTCTGTTGCTTTAAAGTTGTTGTCGCTTCTGTGTGACTGTCGTTCATTTAGAATTTTGCCCTCTGGCGCTTGCCGTTTCTCGGATTCTCATCGGAAGTGATGTCGTTTTCTAAAATGCTGTCGTTCATGCTTGACTAAAGTTAAATTTCATGTCGTTTCCGTTACAAGTGACACGTTGTTCGAAATCTTCGATTTTTCGTCGTCCAAGCTAGAAAAACCTCGAGGAAGAGACAAGTGTCTACAATACTACAGCAAAATCTATCATCTAAAATAGCAAATCTAATATCTATATATATAATCTATTATTAACTCCAAACAAAAAAAAAAACAAAAAAAAAAAACAAAAAAAAAACTCCACTCACACATATACTGTCATCACTTGCACGAAACAAAAAAGCAAAGAAATTCAACGTAACAAGAAATATAAATAAATTATCATCGAAATGTTTATATTCAACTCTCTTGTGCAATCGCAAATCTGAGGTGAGCTTCCTATGTATATATTTTAATGAGCTGCTTGGAATTTTTTTTTTTTTTTTTAAGAACATATAAACTTGTGATTTTCCACCGTCTTGATACAACAACGCGCTCCCTCTAAATAAACAATAAATAATAAATGAAAAACATAAGCGTGTACGATAAAACTAAACCAGTTCATTCCAGCTAATATCCAAATCCAACCAAGTATAAGAACACTCTTCCGAGTTCTGAAACACATGCCGATCTCCATACAAAAAAATAATAAATAAATAAATAACCACGCACAGCTAAAACTCAGGCATCAGGCACTACATGTGGGCTAAGCTTAATTAAATAACTAATATCCAATAGAAGTTAAACAGGTTGTACCATGTCGAGACAGACACAATGAATTTAGCAGAAAACATGTGCCATAATCGAACATAAATCGAACATATAATATGCATTTAATACATGTTAGAAGAGATGAATGTCATTCAAGTTTCAAAGCTTCACTTTGTATCTTCCCGAAGTTCGAACATATCAAAAACTTTCTTAGATCGTTGATGTATGTTTCTCAGTGATGATCAACCATTCAAGCTTAATTCTGTGTAATCAGATTCAAATTAATTCCACTCAGAACAGAAGCATTGAAATGAGTATTACTAATTCCAAGTTTATTTCCTGTAAATGAAGATAAAAACTCAACTAGATACAACACAAAGAATCGCTGATAAGAATACATTATGCAAGGAAAAAAAAAATATTCTATATTAAAAATACGCGTCTATGTTTTGATTTGACAATTTGAGCCATGCTGACATTCTGAGATGGCTTCATCATAAGGCCCCAACATGATTTCATACCTGCTCATGATTGTAAGCAGGAAGTCTCGTTCTAAGCTGTTGTTTGCATGTAGAAGTCCTACTCTGTATTGTTACCTCCAGTCATCACTGATCTCGCTGTTCATTCTTCCAAGAATTTTTCGCAGCTTCAGCAGATGAATCAGAAGAGTCGCCGCCGTTTTCATTCTTCGGTTTTGAAAAGAAAGGATCCCATTCATGAGGCCCCACCTCACGTTGTCCCTCCTCCAACAAAGCATACTTCCAACTGTTTTCTTCAATGAAGTTCTCATCTATACGACCTTCGATGATGTCCTTCCTCAAGTTGGTAACTTTGTCTATAACTGCTTGGACGGAAACGTCAAAGGCGTCTTTGAGAGTCTCCAATTTAGAGCGAGAATCTGCATATACAAGCCTCGGGATAAGGCTTATGACATGCTCCCTCATGATCTTCACCTGTTCTGGAGGAATTTGAAGAAGCCTTTCCTCTATGCTAACGTTCCTCTTTCGGATATCATCCTCTGGAATGAAAACTGAATACAGGGTATAATTCTTCGGAAGATGCCAAGTATATTGTGTGTATGCTGAACCTGGATGGAAGAACACAGGTATGCAACCAGCCAACATCGAATCAAAAGCAGATCTTCGCGTGTAGGAATCGCCTTGCGGTTGTAAGCAGAAAAGGGAGCTCTGGAACATCCGCATTATACTGCTTGGGGAATGACATTTGCTTTCACCAAAATCACATTCCAACAGTTTGCCGACCTTCGATATCCGGCATTGATCAATGATCTGCCCTCTAATTGACTTGGGATTGCCTGGACGTGGTGCACCGGCGAAAGAGAAGAGCCACTTACGCTCTAGATTTCTCATGCGGTCCTGCCAGATAAACACGTCTGCATCCTTTGCTGGATGGAAATACGTTGGATATGGAATTCCAAAATCATTGGCATTCCATGGGCTTGATTCAACCACGAGCATGGACATGTTCTTTGCAGCTGGTAAAAAGAGAAGCTTGTTGCCCCAGTCCGATTCCTCCTTAGTCAGTCTTCTGAAATCCCATGTTATTCTGCCAGCGACCAGAAAATGGTCTTTGCCACCCATAATGCCCCACTCCGGCCTCTTCATAAGCCAATCAACCAAATCAAGTGAAGCCGCATCCCTCGTCGAAATATTGTACCCCCAAAGGTACCGAGCAATATCGAACCCAGCATAAAAGGGTACAAAAATAGCCGCTGCAAGAGACGAATCATTGGTCAGGCAGTCATACTGCTTCATCCGGTTACTGAATATGACATCAACAGTAAACTGATTCGTCGCATACCACCCGGTATCGGAGAACACCCCTTCAACATTCTCCAATGGAGGACCAAGCCCGGCATTCGTCGTGAACTTGCACATATTCGTCCAAAGGCTCAAACTTCTACACTCCTTCAACATATCCTCATTAAACCTCGAAGGAAGGTCATGCACATAGATATACCTCCCACCACACGGATCGCTCTTGTTCTCAACAGTTCTCAATGCCCTCATAAATGGAAAATTCTCCTTTTCAACATGATTTTGGCTAGTTTGAGAAGGGTTGGCCGTATCTTCATGACGTTGGGTAGGTTCTAAAGGGATGGGTATTTGATGGGCATCAATTACATCTTCATGAAATTTGGTAGGTTTTGAAGGGATGGCCTTTTGACGAGCTACAAGGTCAGAGGGGGAATCATTGTCGACGGTACCGGGTTGTAACTTCACCGATTCATCGACATTGTTATTCCCAAGCACAACAAAATGGAAGTACAATAGCAAAATCCAGAAAAAAGCAGACAGCAACACCAAGCAACAAAGCCGGTTCTGCTGGTTCTTCCCCGCCCCCTTCTCCATTTGCTCGGAGGGAACACTTGCCGCCGAGCGGCGTCTCATTAGAAGAGAAACTAATCACCGACCACACATTTTAGTGAATCAATCACACTCAAGTGCCGATTTTTCATCAATCAACAAGAACAGCTGTTTAGAACATCAACAAAGAAACCAAATCCCCAAATCAAACACTCGAACCAAAAAAAACAAGGCCTATTTTCGTTATTCTACAAAATTCCAAGCCTGTTAATCAGCTCATGAATGCTGAACAGAGCTTCAACTAAAACGGAAATTTTCAACACCAACAAGCAGATTCAACTGAAGTAGCTAAAACCGATCAAATCTGATCGGAAAAGTATAATCTTTCGAGGAAAAATGGCCGGCACGAACCCCGAGGAATCGCCGAGTTTGCCCAACCCGTTACGGATCGTTGGAGAGCAAACGATAAACGAAGAACAGAAGAAAATGCAATGAAAAAGAAGATTCGTAGACTGAAAATGAGATTGGAGAAAGAAACTTACATGAACGTTTCGGTTTGCTCGGAAAGATCCGAGACTTTTGGTTTGGTCTCGTGCTCAGAGAAGAGGAGAGAGAGAGAGGGGGAAATGAAGCGAGGGAGCGAGAAAGAGAGAAGATGGAATATAATGGACAGGCGGAGGGGCGCACGTTAGCAACGTGCGCCGCGGTCGCCTGTTGTCGGTAGTCGCTGGGATTACGCCACGTTGCGCGGTGGAAACTACGTGTCGGATTTGGAAAACTGATGTAACTTCCTTAAATTACGTCACTCCTGTTGGGGGCCATTAAAAAAAAAACCACTTTTGTGAATGTGAAGGGAAATTGACCAAGTTTTCGTTCTCTCTTTTTTGATAATTGAGCACGGAGTTATCAAATTTTTTTCTAGAAGAGAAAAGACGAGGACACGTGGAGCTGTAGAGTTGCGGAAAGTGGGCCCTAGAAATTCCCACATGTTGGGCTGCTGCCTGCTGCTGGAGAGGTGAGCCAGATGCACAGAGTTAATCTCAGCCGTTCGATCTGACACGCAGACGACTTACATCAAGGCGATAGTCCATTGATGTGTAAAAAGACAGGACTTCGGCTAGTAATTGGCCTAATTAGAGTGTGCCAATTATTATTTGTTTATAATAAGACCATTATTATTTCCATTTTTTTCTCGACGTCATGGAAAATGATGTTAAGCATGTAACACTAGACCCATTGGTTGGAATGAGAGAGAGAGAGAGAGAGAGAGAGAGAGAGAGAGATGGCAATTGGGCAAAAACATTTTTTTTATGAAAAAGAGGCAATGGGATTTGGTTAGCCGTTGCCATCATCTGAAGTGAGGATTACATTCATGTGAAAGAAGGATTTCAATGACGTTTTCAGAAACTAGGATTTTAGGGCTTCAATATTATTATCTTCCACATGTGGTTGTCTATTATGGACAATTGCATTTTGCAAAGAGACAAATAAATAAAAGGAAATTTTTGTGATAACTGAGGGGAGAAATTCGGCACTCGGCATTTCCATTTTGCCAATGGCTCATTATTTACCTTAAATTAGTTTGCTACATGCTATTAATGGAACCCATGTTCCTAAGCTTAAAAACGCAAAGATCCAAAAAGGAGAACAAAGAAAACAATATTTTGAATCTCCAATTTCCAAGGGAATGGGATGATGCTAGGGCAAATATGGCGCTATCTCAAGGTGTGTAACCATGGTGCTTACACAGGGATGTTTAGTTAGAGGATTCAAACCATGATTTGAATCATGGTTCATGATTCGTTACAGTATTTTCTTTCATAAAAAATACACGTAAATCAAAAATAGTTCTAATCGCATGGTTTATAAAACAGCATGCATCTCAGATGCACGGTCTACTCTTAAAAATAAAATTAAAAAAAAAGATAAATTCAATGATTATTCTTTTCAATATAGACTTTCAAGTCAAATTTTACTTTTTCAAAACAAACAAAAAAAGTGTCACTTTAGTGTCTATGATTAAAATGGGATTTTAATGATATGATATGTAATTGAAGCAGTTATGTTCACTTGTTATAAATTTTTAAAATAAATATTTACAAATTAGACTGTTAAAAACTTAATCTAACGGTTAAAATAATAATTTTTTGTTATGATTAAAAAAACAAATTCTATTGTAAAAGTACTAAAAAAATCTTAAATATATGATAATATTTAATGACATTTGAAAAAATAAAAGAAAATAAAAGATAGAGAAGAAAGGAAAAGGTGCACTATAATCGTCAATAGGGTCTCTTTGTTGTGCTACTCTTAGGATAAGTCATAAGTAGTAGACCAGTAGATTTTATTTGAACTTTATTACTGTACTACCTTACTGTGAATGTTGTCGAACCGAAGGTATGGATTCTAGGCTGGTCCTGTCCTGTTTTGTCTCTGTAAACAGATCGAGTTGGTGAAACTGGTAAACGTGAGCCTTGTTCGGCCGCTTCAAAAACTTAAAAAAAATTAATTTGTGTTTTAATTTTATTTAAGTTCATGTTCTTTTAAGTTTGAATTTGAGTTTAAATTCAAATTTAAACTCTAGTTTGGGATTAAAACTCGAGTTTAAGTTTCTCCTTTAACTCGAGTTCAGAAACTCGAACTCAAATTAATGAACAGTATTTTTTCTATTCTTAAAAATGCTATAACTTTTTCGTTTTAATCCTGATTGAGATGATTTTTTTTCTATGCGTCGACAACGAAAAGACGAATAAAATCTCACCAATATACTATATTAAAATTTTTCATCACCATTGAGTTTTTATTAAAATATTATCTAAATACAAATTCAAGTTTTGACTCACTCAAACACAAACTCAAAAAGATTCTTATCTCAAACCATAACTCAAATGTACACAACCAAATACAAACTCAAGTTACAACTTCAACTCAAGTTATAACTTAAATTTAATTCAAAAATTACACTCAAGTCACACTCCAAAAGAACAAGCCTGTGGTCTCTCACTCTCTTTAATTACCGGTAATTTTTGTATTAAACCGCGGTATTTATTCAAAATCACGTCAATTAAAAAAATATGTAAAATAAATAAATTTTTATTTTTTATAGCTGAGAATAGAAAATCACTGGTAATTCAATTTTTTTTTATATTAATGAAACTCTTTTTTTTCTTTTTTGGAAATTTTTTTCGGTACGTTAACATACTGATAAGTTAAGTTTTTTATCCATCAAATCTACATAAAATCACGTAAAAATTAAAAAATACACATATCTAACGATTAAAAAAAATCTAACATATCGATACATCACGCGTACCAGAAAATCTCTCTTCTTTTTATGGTGGAAATTCACTAACATTTTTAGATTGGCTCTTTTGCATGCAATTAAGGTGTAGCACTAGTTTTTTCTTTTGGCTGGGTGAGCCTTATTGGTTTATTCATTTGACCCCTATGTATTATTGGAGCTTTTGCAAAGTCTTCACAGTGTCCATGGCTGTCTCATGGTCCGGCTGGTTGGCCAGCGGTTTATGACCATGACTAAAACTACCAAATTGAAAAATCAATAAAAATGGGTTAAAATAATGTTTAAAATATTGTTTCAGGAAATGACTTGGTATAATTAGTTTGAGTCTTGTAAATAGAGAACTTCCCTACTTCTGATTTTATTTTGCCATATTTGTCCTCCTATTTTCCATTATTTTACTTTTTCAACTCTTGTTAGCTTAAATTACGTTTGCTTTGGTCACTGATCAAGGTTATTCTTTTAGTGTGCTTTTGCTTTACTTGTTTATGCCATTGTTTATTCAACCTCCATAAAGGCATGATTAGCACTACTACATTCTTTAGTGCCTGATCATGGGCAATATAATCATGTCCATAAAAGCAAAAGATTTGGGAATCTACCCTCTTTCTCAAAAGTCGGATTCCTCCTTTTGCTTGCAGATTGATAATATCCCTTCTCTTTCGAACACTTGTACATACATCTTTATCATCTTGCAAATGAACTTGGGCACCACTAAAATTGTGACTTTAGAACCGCCATGGAAAAATTAAGTGGTAACGTGATACAAACTCAAAGGACGAGAAAAACAGACGAAATTATTCAGATCTGGTCACTCTTGGACAAATAATGTCGGTTTGTGAAAAGGGTGAATTTGGATTGATCTATGTCGAGGCTTTTAACTCTTCATGAACACACACATATAAACGTGCCTACCACATACATTAACACATGCCAAAAGCTCCAAAGCTAGGACATTGAGAAATTTATAGAGTTACCACCAACTTAACATGTTGACCTTTTAAGACGAAACTCATATTTTTAGAAATTTTAAATTTTATTATGGTATCAGAGCTCAACCAACTCAAACGGCGGCTCGATCCACCTAATAGAAGATTAGTGACTCTAAAGAATAACCTTCTTATGAAGGACTTGTAAGAATATTGAGGCACGTCATTTAACAAGTTAACCTTTTTACGATGAATTTTCATATTCTTAAAAAGTCTTATCTAAATTCCATCATAGATTGTTATCCATCTCAATTTCTAGTGTCACATAAAATTCAAAAATTTCCCATATTAATTGGTATAGGTCAACAGCCTTTACACCAATAAAATTGACCGTCATTAGTACCAGAACATAAAAAGACTAGTGAATATTGAATCTGATACGTGGGGTAGGTGAAATCCATTGATTGCTTGTATGCATGGACAATAGATTATGCATAGAACTATACTCATTCATCCATAGGCGAGTGAATTATTGAATTTGAGGAGCTTCAATCGCAGTCCAACACGTAACATGGGTATTTTGTGCCGGAAGTTGGGCATCATAATGTTAACGGAAGTAGTTTATGACCACCCAAACTATGTCATGGTCGGATGCTCACACAACACTGACAACAGCCTTGGACAAGTCATGTTTGTGGATGGAAGAGGAGCATAATGATATGAGCCTTGATCTTGTGGTAGATTCGGATAAAATGACACTTTTTGCTTCAGTGATTTTGTAGGGGAAGAGCAAGTTAGGGGCTTTGTTACTAATATCCAAGTATAAAGAATACCATGTTCTTTTAGAAAAACAAGTTAAAACAAAAAAAAAAAAGATTAAAAAAAAAAAGGTATAGAGAACATAGTGGTAGGATAGACAAAATTGAATATCAAGTTTTTATAGTATTAGAATAGACATTTGTTCTTAAATACAATATTTTAATAAAATTGTCTCATGATGTAAGTTTAGTATGATTTGACATTTAAAAACGTGTACTACTTAGAGATATTTCAAATCACAGAGTCTCTTATAAAAAAATTAGAAAAAATAAAAAATTATTGATTTGAATTCATGTAGGTCCCGCAAAGTTATAGGATGCACGTTTCATTTGAGGCACCTGCAAAAGAATCCAGAATCATCTACATGACCTCTCTAGTTTTTGTGCAATGATGGGAAGAAATTAAAAGGAAAGGGATAAAAGATGTTCCCAGACAAGGAAAGAAACCAAGTAATAGCAACCGATATTCATACAACATGGAACAATGAAAGTAATAAGAGAATCGAGAACACAAATGCAAATAAAGATCCTAGGTTGTAAGCAGAGGATGTACTTCTTTTCTTCTCTCTCTTCCTCTTTCTTCCTAAAGATCTTTTACCCAATTTGACGTCTCCAAAGAACAAGTGAACTCCCGGGTCTCTCATATTCACTTCACTTTCACAAAGAAGAGAGTTGTTTGCTCCCTGAATGTTGTTGTTTATGTAAATGTTAATGCAGCAACAATCATGGGGCGCAGCTCCATTGCCCCGATCCAGCGAAAACGACGCCCCGGCGTTTATTCCTTCTAACTTGATACGTTCGGAGGATTCAGGGGTGACTTCTGGGGCCATTTGGAGACTCTTGATTTTTCTTCTGCTAGAGTAGAGAGCGGCAGCTTCTTTCTCCTGTTTGAACTGATTATCTTCTCTACCTTTGGCTTCCTTGCTTGTATTACGCGTTTGGAATATGTCGACTTTACCTACAGCAAAAGGCATTGCTATGCTTTATTCCAATTTTTTTTTCTTCTTTTCAGTAACTTTTGAAACCTACAGCAAGTTTGAAAGAGAAATAAGATAAAAACAACCGAATTAATTGCTAAAACTGGCACTTCGGCTATGGGAAAGTAGTATATTGACATAGTTTCTCCTTCTCCTTAACTAGCAAATTTCTTCTCATTGGATCAACTCCACGACGTTCCTTGTAATAATAATAAAAAAAAATAAAAATAAAAAGAGGTAATTATGGTATCCCCCATTTGCTTCAAGAGTTGATCATTGGTATCCATGGAAGAAGATTGAACTTGAAACTAGTTCTGTAAACTGGCACGTGGTCATTGCAGACCTTAAATATTACAGAACCATCAAGGAGGTATTACAATTTTGTCTCTAGTAAAGACAAGATCGAAACTAAAATATCTATTTGTCCAGGCATCATATACAATATTCTTCCATTTCAACGTTCAGAGACAGATAAACACAGACGCATATATAATATATATATAT